GCCAAAAGTGGGGGGAGAGCAGGGGGGTTGCGCGCGTGTGTGCCCACACCCATAATTCTATGCGCCCCGACCCGCACATGTGCGTGAACCCCCCACGCTTCCCTCGCTTTTGGCATGTGATGGCACGGCGGGCCCGGTAGGCCCGTTTTTCACCCTCCCCAGGTTCCAGAGCCTTTCTAGGAGCCTGGGGAGGGCGAAAATGGCCTTCTCCACCCCCCTGGAGGCCCTCCGGAGGCTGGAAATGGCCTGTTTGCTGACTTCCAGTGGGTCCAGAAGGCCCGAAAATCAGCTGGCTGGTGCACGCATGTATGCCAGAACTGAGCTCGTATGCCCACCGATATGCCATAGGTTCGCCATCACGGGTATAGACAATGTGAAATTTAATTGGTAAAATGAAGCACAGCAGTTCATTGGGAAACTGACCAATATCCCCAGCAACAGGCAACCATTTCTGGATGGAATCCTCCTAGATTTCTGCTATTTGGAAGAGAACACCTGATTTATTTCACTCATATTTCAAATATTTTAGTTGGAAACATAGAATATAGAATAACAAGTTGGAAAGGATCTTGGAGGTCTTCTAGTCCAAAACTCTGCTCAACCTATACCATTCCAGACAAATGTTGTCTAATCTCTTCTTAAAAACCTCCAGTGATGGAACATCCACAGATTAATTGTGGATAATTGTGGGTGGCATTTCTTGCTGATATTTTTCTTTGCAATGTTATATAAAGTTGTTCTAATAAAATTAGGTTTAAAAATAATTAATATATACAACCATCGAATTTTTATAAGAAAAACAAATTGTGAGTCTCATGCTTGCCACTAGATGGCAGATCAACATTAAAGAACTAGACAACTACCATTTAAAAGGGCAGGCTTTTCAATAGAAAAAGCAAAATTAAGTATCTTGGCCATGCAAAAAACACATGTCAACTGTATTAGAGCATCAACTTACGCTTTTTATGTGGCATGTAATGTCTCATATGCATGACTTTTTATAACAAAACTGAAATCTTGAAGCAGAAGTTCAGATGGCAGTATTTGTTTCTCACACAACTCCATTTCTAAAGAGGCACATACTTTTATAGCACTACAAACTGCTAGGGAGAGACAGGAAGTACCAAAAAAAAAAAAAACCAAGATAAAGGGAATGAGAAAAGCTCAGGAAATATGAGGACAAAGAAATATATCAAAAACCCACAAGCATTTTACTTTGCCGAATAAACTGTCCCAATATCTTTTTTAAAAAAGTCAAATTTTGTATAGCATTTGTATAGCATAAACATAAAACAATACTAGCAGTATACTAAGCTTCTAAATAAAAAGCTACCATATTTCAGCATGGACAAGAATAACTTTCCCAGAAGAAAAATGTACAATGAATATTGCCTTTGAAAATTACATGGTTCAATTGTTAATAACAGAAAATTAATCCATCTCTTTTGTATTAAACTAAGCTCCTTTCTCTTTCTTTCAAATATAGTTAAAGGACGAGAACATTTAAATAAAGGTTAGTAACTCTAATTCTACCTGTTCATCATAGTAATTGTTACAGGCTGAGATAAAAACATCTTACAAGAAACTAGATAGATCACTGTGCAATAGAGAAGAGATACTTTAAAATAAAATTTTTAAAAAGCTGACAGTCTTACCCTAACAACAGTGTTGTCCCATCTTACATCCTTTCCCATTATTATTATTTTTGTTTTGCAATGGCATTATGCCATCAATTTGAACATAGGGAAGACCCTATGTTGGAAATGTTTAATGACATTAACTTCTTTGTGCTACAAGACACTGTCACTACAATGTCAATTAGCCAAAGTGTTATTAATGCAAAAAAAGTATTCATTAAAAAATACAATAATGAAGTTGGTTCACAGAAATAAGATTGTGGTTCCTTCATTTTTTTTTCTACATGTGTTTGGAGTTATCTACCCATGTTTCCTCAAAAATAAGACCGGGTCTTATTTCCAAAATAAGCACTAGGGCTTATTTTTGGGGGCGTCTTATTTTTTTCTCATGTACAGAAAGCCCACTTCTGTTTGCTCATCGCAGGGCAGGAAACCGGGTGGCACGCCAGTGCCGTCACAGTGAAGCACGGGGGTGGAGCTGCCCCACGTGCCCTGCTTACGTCAGGGACACTGCAGCCAGGCTACCCATGCCCCAGCACCTGCCTTGCCTTGCAGGCACAGCACCAACACACTGCTCGGCCTCCTGCTCCACTGCGGCTGCGAGCAAGCAGAAGTGGGCTGGCAGTCATGTCGGCTCCTGTTGCACATGGCGGTTGTTGTACATGGCTGCTGCCACAAGGCAGGTGTCAGGGCATGGCCTGGCTGCAGGGGCCCTGAGGTAAGCTGGTGCAAGGCACATAGGGGAGATCCACCATCACCCTGGCTTGCCTTGTGGCTGCAGTGCTGCAAGCAAGCAGATGGAATGAGCAGCTGGGCGACAGCACAGGCTCTTAAGTAGGGCTTATTTTGGGGGTAGGGCTTATATTAGGCACACATATAAAAACATGCTAGGGCTTGTTTTCAGGATAGGTCTTATCTAAGGGGAAACAGTGTATATTACTAAAACTCTCATTGTCATGCCCTTTAACTGGGCAAAGAGTGCATCATATGACAAGCATTTTTTAATGCAAGTATCTTAAATTGGCTAACATACAGAACATTCCCAAGGATAGGTTTTCGCTGCTTTAGTGCTACTGGCTGCTGCTGGACTGATCTTCCTTTTCAACATTCCGTGACAGTTTCCCAGCAAGTCTTGCAATCCTTCATTCACTCCCCCCCCCCAAACAGCAGCCATTTATCTGGAGGAAGGGGAAGGGGAAGGGGAGGGAAGGGAAGGGAAGGGAAGGGAAGGGAAGGGAAGATTTCTGCTGCTCTCTGCCAACTTTCCAATGTATTTCACATTTCCATGAAATACTAAAACAAACTGCAAACTTTATTTTTAAAAATCTGGGTAATCTGTGCTTCATTGGGTTATTCTTAATTTTTTTACCTAAACAGAAAAACAAAGAATTAATCCAAATTCACAATTTAACAACTGCAGTGATTCACTTAACAACTATGCCAAGAAAGGACTAAAATGGGGCAAAATTCACTTAACAACTGTCTCATTTAGCAACAGAAATTTTGGGCTCAGTTGTGGTTTTAAGTCAAGAACTACTTATATGTATCAAACTCTGCTAGGAGTAAAATAGGAGTACAAAAAAAATTGATTAAGCATTCTTTAAAGTTTGTATTAGAATAAGAAAGTACTTTTAATACATACATGATATGCATTGAATACTTAATACAGCTAGTCCTCAACTACCTGCAACGGATGCTGCAATGTTCCTAAGTGTGAAAGATGGTCGTAAGTCACTTTTTTCAGTGCCATTGTATCTTTGAAAAGTCACTAATCAATATGTTGTAAGTTGAGGATTACCTCTATAAGAGAAAATCTAATTTATTATTATTATTTATTAACTGATGTGGCTGACAGCTTTCAATAAAAGGTACTTTGAAAAATGCATTTTTCTAGCAGCAGCCTTCACTGGTGATATTCCAAAAACAAATCAGCTTGGGGTGAGTCCTTATGATTTAAGGATTGGCACTTAGTTCTTGTTTCTGGAATGGCTTCTAGAAGAGGCACAAGACTAGGGCAATATTTCTAGTTCTTCTTGCTCCCTGTGATACGATGGACTTATTTGTAGTATATCACTGTCTCACTCAAATGGTACACAGTGACTGCACCCTGCTGACAGACTTCTAGTTCTCAATTTAAGCTTTAAAGTAATCTTTAGAGCAGTACTGAAGATACTGCTTCAGTATTTACATATAAGGGGCGTTGGTCCTACTTGATACGCTCCTTCTCGGGGTGCGGGGAAGATCATCCAGAAGTGGGTGGTGCTCTGCTTCTCTGCTTGGAGACCGAGTATATTTTTCTTGGCCACGCCTCCCTTGCCTGGGTCCTCCCCAATTCGACGAGGGCGCAGCAACGATGATGAGGCTCACAACCTGTGAAAACAGTAACCCCTCCCGGACCAAGGACCAGACGGTCGCCAGGGTGGGGCTGGATGATCTTCCCCGCACCCCGAGAAGGAGCGTATCAGGTAGGACCAACACCCCTTCTCCATTGTGGCGGGGAAGATCATCCAGAAGTGGGACTTACCAAAGCCGGTCAGTCGTACGGGTGGGAAGCAGTCTGGTCTGAGGTCCCCTGCTCCGTGCAAGGTCCCGGAGGATCCACCAGAGTCCGGCTGTGCCAACCGAAGCAAAGACCAAGAAGCACAGCGATGCTCAAGGCCGCAGATGGACCTGAAGCCGCCTGCAAGGTCATGCCAGACCGACTGCAATTTCCCAGAAGTAATGAAGTGATCAAGATGTCGCAGAAGAAAACCTGGAACATAACAAAAAACCTCTACCTCCTTCAAGGGAGGAGAAGCCCATTATGTCAGCTGGTCGAAACCCAATCCGGCCAAAGGGCCCGGCCCGTAATCCAACCAGCAGGGTCGTGGGTGAAGGGTTATGGAGCCATGCTGGGGAGTGATCCCCAGAATACCCCCGAAGATAAAGTGAGGGACAGCCTGAACCTGAGTGTGGTGGGTCGGCACGTCTATCAGAACTGGAAGTTAGGAAGGGAAACCTGCGACCAACTCAATGGCGAGGAACCCACCACTGCTATCAGGCAACCAGCGCCCTGCTCAAGGACAGCCATGGCCCTCTAATGATGGGAACAGCAAGCCTGGACCACATGACCACTCTGAAGACAGGTGGCCAAGGTCCCCTGTCCATTAGGCATCTAAGCCCTGTCCAGTGGGATGGGGAAACCCACAGACATGAAAGGGTAGAGCCAGTAAGGTCGAATGTCTACACTGCACTCGTCGGCGAAGGCCGTTCGGGTAGTCATCATAACAGGGCTGTGATAAGGCCGTCTAGATCCTATGAAGAACAGAGGTGTCCCGAGGAGGTAAGAGCCCCGCGGACCCCCTAGCCCTTGATTTGATTTATTTTATTTATTTATTTATTAAAATTTGTATACCGCCCTTCTCCTTTCGGACTCAGGGCGGTGAACAGCCAAAATAAGAACATTTGCACACAAAAGTTCAAATAATTATTAAAACTAATGAAATGAAATTTGGCCCATAATTTAAAACGTATCGATTAAAATCAATATCAAACGTTAAAACCAACATGGAATGATGCCGGCAGCCCCAAAGGACCCAGAGGTCCTTCCAATCCCCTGCCCCGGAACATTGAGCCCCAAGGGCCCAGAAGGGAACCATAAGGTGGATTTTAAGGGCGAGGAGACAGGCCACCAGGGATAAGCAGGGCCAATGGACTACCAATACCAGGGTCCAGAGGCGCCAAGTGTCCGACACGTAGATACTGTCCAGAGAACAGGGTCCTGAGTTAATCCGACCCCAGGCCTGATCAGTACGGAACTGTCCGTGAAAAGTGGGAAGTACGAGAGCGTATGTCGTCTGGAGCTGCACGTCATAAACAACCACTTGAGGAACGGTAGGGAGCCAGGAGTTGAAGGCGTATGGCCCTCACGTGGTGGAGGTAGCACACGGTGGAGAGAGGGTCCCGCCCCGTCGACTAAGGCAGGTGGGAAGACCCGCCGCTGCAAACCTGACTGGAATTAAGTGTTAGGACAGCAGCAAGGCAAGAGTCTGGTAGGCAGGTACCAGAAGTATTGACTGCCCTCTAAGGGTACTCTAATACCCCCTTCAGGGAGGAATCATATGCGGGAGTACTGATTGGAGTCCCGTCCAGAAGAGGCCTGGCCAAAGAACTCCGGAACTGGAGCTGCCCAGAGCCAGTCCAGTCAGGAATTGGCTGGAGGAACTGATGCCAGACCGCACACTACAAACAACTCCCCCAAGGGATCAGCGAAGGGAGAAGCCCTGTCGCAGACTGAAGGAGCCAGCCACGATAATTGAAGGCCAGGGACCGGTAGAGCAACCCGCAGGAAGGCAGAGGAGGAGAACCACATGTCTCCTGTGCCAAGGCTCCCGTAAGCGCCCCTAGGAATCCCAGGGAGCCGGGACAGAACGGAGGAAGCTCGCACCGTCGACTGATAAGGTTAGAGGCTGCAGTGCTCTAGAGCTAGGATGCCAGAGTGGCTGATAGAGGGTCCGGCAGGGAGCTAGATGAAAGTCGCCCCCCCCTCCTAGATCTTGCTGATGGTATACCCAGCAGAAGGAGTGAATCTGACTCTCAAGTGAGCCCATGACTGTCCCCGTTCCAGAACTGTCAGAGGCATCTGAACTAGGTGCTTCCTCCGAGTTCAAAGGTTCCCATCGAGGATAGGAAAGTGGATAAGAGCGGTGCTGTTTGTACCGGGCAGGCTTGTACCTCCCGAACCTGCCAAAAAAGCTGGGTCAAGCGCCTCTTGAGGCGAGTGGGGATTGGTAGCACAGACTATCTGTCACTTACCTTATCAACGGCAGCCCATGTCGCGCCAGGTCAGAAGAATGGTCATTGCTGCAGAAGCACGCAAAAGGGCCGGCAGGCATGGCCCAGTGTAAGCGGCCTCGCTGAAGCTCAGCAACAGGTATAACCTAAGCGGTATAGGCCTGGAAACCATTGTACAGAGTTAGAATATTGCTCCCGACCGTGGTTGGGGCCTAGGTGTAACGACCCTGGTAGAAGGGAGGTTGGTGCCATCCTGAACACTCTCGTAACTTAGTGATCGTGGGTGAGCGGCTACAGGCACCAGACTTGCAAGTGCTGCCAACCCCCAGCCCCTACGGCGAGCCCTGGAAGAGCCTCTGCTCTGTCCTCTGGGAAATCACAGACCTTCGCGCCTCCCTCCAAGGGGGGAACGAGCTGAAATGACCACCGAGGTGGCTGTTGTTAGCGTAGGCTTACATACCGCCTCAGCCGCCCTGCATAGTGGAAGGATTAAGCTCAGTTCCAAGAGGGCCTGCGGGTACAGAATGTAACCCTTCCCCGGGTACCGAATGTAAACCTCCCCATTACGAAAGGGAGTAAGGACCATCCCAGGTCAGTGATATGCTGAGGAAGGGCTAGGTGACCAAGGAACCGTCACATGTATGGTCGGTGCCGACATCCCACATATGGAGGATCAAGGGCCTCAGGGAAGGTGCCCAAGATGGCGATAACGATGCAGTCAGGGAGTGGACAAGACTACGTCAGATCAGGTAAGGACATGGAGTTCTATGACAGGTGTCCATCTGATTGGAACTCCTGTGCAAGGGAGACTTTGTGGAGTGGCACCTGCAAGTACGCACAGCTCACAAAAGCGTGCTGCAGCTCTGAAAGGAATTATGGAAATTGGCTGGGAACTACAGGGCTAGCCAGCCCGAGTAATCATGGAGGTGTGCCTCCCCGGATTGCAACCAGCATCACCAGGTCCCCCCCCACAGGGGAGTAGGACTGCAGTTCCAGGCATGGAGCAATTGGAACCTGTAGGACAAAGCAAATCAAATCAGTCAAATGCTTATGGTTGGGCGCCCCCTGGAGACCAGCGCATTAGCCGGCACACTGGAGCAGGCAGGATCGGGATCTGAAAAGAGTCGTATGCAGGAGCAAAGGGTTCGCTGGGAAAGGGAATTACTGCCCCCCAAATCCTGTCATCCTAGGCGCCCCTGCTAGCTATGAGATATTAAAGGGGGCGCCGATGGCTGGCAGAGGAGGACTCAAAGAGGAGCCCATGGTCCAAGGCCGACTGGTCAGGACCCAGTTTAACTTGCTCCCATTAGCAACTGCCGCCCATGACTAGAGAGAAGGGCGGGTCTTGCTCCCTCCCCCCAGCCGTAGCTATGCAGAGTGTCTCTCAATGCATAAATGCTGCCTGCGGGGAATGGCGGGAAGTCCGCCCCGTCAATTTGCGCGGGAGCATTGACAAGGCGCAGCCAGCTAAGCGGCGATAAAGGCGGCAAATTTTTCCCGCGTTTCTGCAGCGGGACGCCTGAGCTGTTTCGCCGCCGCGAACGGCGAAATTTGTTACTCTCTGAAGCCCATGAGCCATTCCACAACTCAGCTTGGAAGAAGCTTCCACAACTGCGAGAGCTACCAGTTAGCCTCGTGCGGAAGCACCGACCGGCTATGAGGGAGAGAGGCCCAAATGGGCACTCCCGCCCTGATTATCAGGTGCTGGAATCCTGCCATTACACTAACTAAGGGGGAAAGGCATTGATCGTACAAAAGGAGCGCCCCTTGACTCAGCGGCTGAGCGGCTGACTTAACCACCGAGGAAGCTATTCCATGAGGCAGCCTGGCTCTGAAGGACTCTGTCTTGTCCCTGAAGCGCCTGGTGGAACTGCCAAGTTAATTGCAAAAATGAGTAGGAATGTTCGAAATTAGTCTGCCCGCGACGACTGGCCAAACGCCCGTCGCTACTGCCGACTTGCGGAATGGGCAGATTGGCCCAAAAGAAGCCTCCTGTCATCGCAATTATGCGCATGGCACTATCTGAGGTAATGAATGCCAAGGGCGACATGCTCCAAGAGAGCGCTTATATCCCGCTGTAAGGCGCTTGACGCTATTAGTTACAGCAAGCCAGGGGAAAACGGATCATAGAGAACGCTCCTGTTCCTGCCGGAATGGGGCTCGGCACTAACAGAGGTGCTTAGTGGCATAAGGCTGAACGGCGCACCCAGAGCACTCCCGTCACTGCTACCATGGCGCACCACGCTATCAGAGTCATTTTGTGGCTGAAGTCTCCTTTGTCATCGGGAGCGCTCCTGCCCCCGCTATTATGGCACTCCACTAGTAAACAACCTCAGGACATAAGGCAGACTGGCTTGAAAGGGCACCCCTGCCTGAGACGCGATGCCGCCAGGAGCGGCTGCCATGTTACCTTGTCCGATGGGCCGACGGCTTATCAGAGCTCCCTGCCATGGCCGCCCTAGTGTGAAGCGCAGAAGCCGCCCTACTGCGGCGGGAAAGGCAGACTGGCTCGAATGAGCACTCCTGCCATGGCCTGAACTGCGCTGTTAACTCCCCTGCTCAATGAGCTAAGAGGGAGACCTCCCATAGCGTTGGGTCGCATCTTCGGGTGGAAACGGGCAGACTTTTGCTGCGGCAATCGAAGCGCCCAAGGCGTCAGCTGCTTTCCACTCACAATCAGGCAGACTGGCTCATCTTGAGCGCTCCTGCCACGGCTCCTGAGGCGTCAAACGCACTTGCCGCTGTCAGAATGCCTGGACAACAGGCAGCAACTGAGTCCCTCTCTGCATTTGCAGACGGCCAAAGGCAAGCCCCTCCGCTGGCGCGGGATCAGCAGGGACCTAGGCCAAATGTCAGGCCGGTAGGGAGGATTTCCAGCGGACCGCTGGCTAGCGACCATGGTTCGGTTTCAATTCACATCGTATTTCAGGTAATTAGGACTGGTGAGCCTCATTTTCTCAGTCTCATCTCGTGGAAGACCGAGTCGAACTGGGGAGGACCCAGGCAAGGGAGGCGTGGCCAAGAAAAATTTACTCGGTCTCCAAGCAGAGGAGCAGAGCACCACCCACTTCTGAATGATCTTCCCCGCCACAATGGAGAATCTTAATATTTAAACCCCAATCAAAGGCAACATAGAATAAAATAGACCAGAATGCAGAATAAAAAGAGGCCAGGGCAAAAAGGTAGTTCTTAATTTCTATGATTATTTAAAGATGATGCATTTGGAATAACTTGCTGAAATTTTCAGACAGTACTGAGATCAAATTTTGCTAGATGGAAAAACCTAAAAATTGTTGAGTTGACCTTGCTATAAAAGAAAGTTCCTTAATTCTCAAAGGTAAAGTTTAACAGCTGGCAAACTCTGTCTCCTAAATGGAAAGCTCAACAGTTCAAAATATAATAATAACCGTCTTGTGGCATTTCAAATATGGACTAGCTTATTTTTAGTGTCGTGATTTTTTTTTTAAAAAAATGCTTCATTGGATGTATTAGGTTAATGAGATGAATCAGAAAACACATGCTTCCAGTACAAAAAAAATTAAATAAAACTCAATGGAATGGAACTATAGGAAATATGCCACCCCAGCAGGTGTGCAATGCATTATTTTACAAATAGGAAACCCAGGAAGACTGTCCCTTTGAAGAAAAAAAAATTCTAATACAAATTTCAGTTCAACTATGAACTTTCCAAATTGTCTAACACCATTCACTGCCTCTCAGGTCCAAGTCTACTTCAAAATCTAGAACGAATATTGAAATCTAGAACTAATTCTAATATTGAAGGGTTACTAAAGTGTACCCTGCTTGAATTGGGATTCAAAATACTCCAACCCATAAAGATTATACTGAGTGATTCCAGTAGCAAATGCCTTCCTCCTCAGATGAGCTGGGCTAAAAACAGACCCAGCCAGTTTGCCTAGAAAAGGCTGGCAGGGAGGCGGAGCCCACATTGATCCAAAAATGAGGCTGCAACCATCCATATAGCAACTGTGCTGCTTGAACAGAGCAAGGAAGTGTTTCTACACAAAGAGGTATTAGGGCTTAACTTCCTGGGTTTTATTTTGTTACAGCAATTTCTTTGCCACTCATAGTAATACATACCAAGAGATGACGATGATAATACTGATGATGATGATGACGATAACAACAAAACAAAACAACAAAGTCTTAAGAACAGGTTAAAAATAGAGAATAGATACTTCCCCACCCCAAGGCATTAATAAGGATGCTATGAATAAGGATCATAGGGAACATAATGGAGCTGAGAGAAGATATTCTTTTTGCCCTATTATACATGAAGAATATTTATGACTTCTAGAGAGATTAATCTGTACTTTGTTTTTTATCCATCACCACTGTATTATTGCCATATTTTACTGGTATTCCCTTTTAAATTTCCATATTTTCCAATATGGCTCTGATGAAAACATTCTACAATTTTTGGCACTGTAAATTTTTGTCCATACCAGCTGGCCTGCACATGCTTTGGCACTGTTCCTATGTTTATATCCATGATGGGCAGCTGATTTTAACAAACTTAAGCAGACAAGAAATGGAAGAAGAAATTGCACAGGATGTGTGTGCTGGGTGTTCCCACTGACTCTCCTTTTGTTGGAGGCTTCATCTTAAATTTAATAGGGCTTATCGTTTCCAAAAGTCATCTAATATCTTGGTAAGTTTTATTCCTAGGAGAGGTATCACCCGAATTATTTTAGCAGATCACAGCAGCTAAATGAACACATGGAATCCAGGACTAATATGAAAAATTCTGAATACTCAAAAAGTGAATATTACATTACAAAATAAGAACATTAGAAAATCAGACCAGTATATAGGGGTTGGTATGATGCTTTAAAATATTCAATGATTTGTCTTACTATAAATTAATATTGGTAGAGTCTTGCTCAAATTATACTCTGCTTGATCATTTGCAATGTAACATTTACAGTTGCTACCAGCAGGATCCAGACTTGTAGGATCTCCATCAGAGCTTGCGATAAAACAGATTCTGTTTATCCTGTAATGAGCTATAATTTTCACATTTGTGGCTTTCCTTTTAATAGCAATAGCACTTAAACTTATATACCGCTTCATAGTGCTTTACAGTGCTCTCTAAATGTTTTACAGAGTCAGCATATTGCTCCCAACAATCTGGCTCCTCATTTTACCGACCTCAGAAGGACGGAAGGCTGTGTCAACCTTGAGCCAGTGAGACCCGAACTGCCAAACTGCTGGAAGCCAGTAATCAGTAGAAATAGTCTACAGTCCTGCATTCTAACCACTGCACCACCGCAGCTTTAAAATCTAATAAAATCTAATATCAATCATATAACTGGCTGGTAGTCTTTGGGCCATTCACTTTCTTTTGACCCAATCTACCTCACAGAGTTGTTGTGGGGAAAATAGGAGGAAAGACATAACAGATATGTTCATCCTCTTCAATAATTTATAAAAAATAAAAATGGCAAGATTGATTGATGAAAAAAATAAATGATATAGTGACTCTTAAAAGTTAGTGCTGCTTTTTCATTGGCGTTCTTAGCCAATGAATGAACTGTAAAGAATGACATTTGTACTGTATTCTCTCAATTGAGACGTACTGTAGTCACTGCTTGCCTCAGTATCAGTTTATTTATATTGTTGAGTTTGGGCAATAGAAACAAAAGCAAAAATTCATAGTATTTCTAATGTTGATATTTTAGAAATAATTAAAATATTTTTCCTCAAGAGTTTTGTCAGTTTCTAAACACTAAAAAGCAGGCCAGTGTCTGAAACATGATAGTGATAGTTAGGACAGCCATACAAGGTAAATGTTATTATTGTGCCTATTTGTGGTATGGGTGTGTGTTTGTTACTCAGCCTCTTGATATGCTAGACTGGAATAGGAGATTCAAGATGCAGGCCAAAATTATACTGCAAATAAAAATTACAAAGGACTAGAGCTGCTTCTGGTGAATATAAGGCTGTTTTCCTTTCTCTTACCTCCTGTTATGTGGTGGCCTTCTTCATGTTAAGGCGATTTGATATAGCTGCTCAAGAATTAGTATTTCTTGTGTAAAGAACACTATTGTCAAGATCAGTGGTGAGTTGCCCCTGGTTAGGACCGATTCACAAGAACCGGTAGTAAAACTGACAGGAGGCTCCGCCCACCAACCCCGTCATCAGGATGCTTTTGCGCATGCGCAGAAGCTTCTGTGCATGTGGGCGTGCGGCCCCATTGCAAACCGGTAGTAAAGGTAAGTAGAACCCACCCCTGGTCAAGACGTGGAGGGGTTTGAAGTTACTAAAGAGCATCACTTGGGGTGAAGACCGGAATGCAAATTTGGTCAAGTAGCATTTCTTAATTGAAGAATGGAAGAGAAAATCATTATACCAAGCTTATCTCCCAAAATTACATTCCAAA